ATTGGAGGTCTTCAGCTCAAACGGAGGATGCATCGCTTAGTCAGTACTGTGACTGTGTCTGCTAAGTTGACAAGACATCCCACTTTGAGTCAAGCCAGCTTTTGTGTTTTACAAAGACATCTTCTCAGCTCTTTCCTTTCATATTAATTTGAAATCCAACAAGAGCAATTTGTGAGAATTGAGTGGTGAGCCGTATTTTGAAGTTTAGCCTGCAACAGTGAAAAGCTGTTGACTGTTGCCTGGATTATCATTGTGTTATTCCTGTCAGCAGTACACAGTCAATGTCTTCATTGTTCTTTCTCTCTGAGCCAATCAAGAGTGTGTAAAGTACTTGGAATATTTGAAGATTACTTTGATAGGATTCACCTCTGTCAGTGACCACAGAGACAAGTAAGCTGAAGGAATATTTCCAAATATTAAAGGATAAGGATGATGGTTTTCTTATGGTGATTTTTCACAAAGCCCACACAGAGACTAATGAATTTCACTGACTTGCACTAACAAGGCGAGAAGCTAGCGGGGTTGTGTAAACAGGGCAGAGGTCGCTGTGGAAAATGAAATGTTGTTCTTAGCACTTGGAGCTCTTTTTTTTTTTTTAAGGAAGATGCATCTCGCAGATTTTGTGAGACATAAACATAACACTGTATGTTTTTAATAGATTTCAGACAATAATGGAGGTCAGTGGCACAGACGAATAAGCTAAACCAGGTCATGAAATTCACTGTTGGTTTTAGTCACTGTATGAAATCTGTGGAAAAGAACCAAAGAAACAGAAAATCATTGGCCTTGTACACAGGTGCCGTACAACCTGCATCACTGTGGGTCACTGTGAGGCACCAGGACAGGCCACCAGCCTGTTTCATGTTTTATCATGTCGACTCCTAGGACCATCACATTCTGGCTGCTCTTCCTGTCCACAACTACTACTGAGAGTGTCCAGAGAAAACAAGAAGCAAGTTAGTTACAACTTTTGTTGTCATGTTTGCTGTTAAGCTTCACTATTGGATTTAACCTATCCAACCTTCAGAGTCGACCTTTTTCAGTGAATCCTAATACTTCGATTCTTGTACAGTGTAATGTGTTGAAATGTTTGTTATGCACCAACATGTGTATACTTCCTAGTTAAAAGTTCTATCCATTTTCTCCCCTGGTAAAAAGCAACATTTCCCAGCCTTCCCTAGGGAATCCTGAGGCATTCTTCCTAAAAACGTATTAGTATAAATTCATAAAAGGCTAGTTAGTGCTTTTATGGATGGTTAGTAAAGCTCAGTCAGATGGAAAAACAGATGACAAAAGATATTAAGGACAATATGTTTGGACGCTGAGGCTGCAATTGTGAAGCTGTCTATTGTACCGCTGGGCCATTCTGCAATGAGATGGAGAGAGGAAGAGAAGATAGATCTAACATCATTCCTCAGGGTAATGGTGCAGGGAAGTTAAGATGAAGAAAAGGAAAGAAAGGAGGAAGAGGAGGGAGGCTGACAAGGACAGCTGCAGAGGAAAGGAAAAACACGAGGAAGGAGTGGGAAAGATGGATAAACAGGAAGAAAGACATTTTTAAAAGAGGGAGAAAGATACTGGAGAGATGATGGGAAGGAGTGGATGGAAAAGAAGAAGAACAGGACCAAAGAGCAAAGAAGGAAGAGATGAGAAAAGATGAGTGAGAGAAAAGGAGGATAAAGAGCAAGAGGCTTGTACTGTAGGTGGGTAGACCTGCAAAGAGGGAGCTAGAAAAGGATAAAGGAAAGAAGGGTGGAGGAGAAAAGACGGGAAGAGTGAGCACATGGGAAATGAGATAGACAAGGTATTCAAAAGTTTGGGTGGGGGGGGCATGAGATAGACAAGGTATTCAAAAGTTTAGGTGGGGGGGGCAAAAGAGAGAGAGAGAGAGAGTGTGTGTGTGTGTGTGTCAGTGCTGGGGGAGGAGGGTGTGTTTCCCGTAGGGTTAATTACATCTCTGTTCTCTGTCAGTGCGGCTCTCTCCTGCACGATCTGAGTCCCCGCTATAGGCTGACAGGCACCACACACACACACACACACACACTCACAAACACTGGTATACACATACGCATACATACATGCACACTCAAATACCACAACACAAGCAGAAATGTTGTCTTGTCTCTTCCTTTTTGTCTTTGTCATAATTCCCCACACACACTAATACACAACAGTCTGTCCAAGGAGAGCTGCTGTTGCTCAGTACAGAGTTATGCATGAAGAAGAAGGCCCTTCCTCATAATAACAGTTAATTTAGCATAAATCATGCATAACAAATCACTCATGTCAGCAGGATATCACATCCTAGCAGCTCCCACCTCCTCCTCAAATTCTTCTTGTTCTCTATAGGAAGCAGCAGCAGCTTCCATTTTCACTGCTTGTCTTTGACTTCTGAAGATGAAAGACAGAAACATGCATAAAGTTTCACTCTGGGACCATGACTGATATTTATGCCCAGGTTTTGGGAAGTAAAAGATACAGACAGGTGACAGGTTTATCAGTAAGGTGCCACAGCATTGATTGTACAAATCTCTGAACTCTCCTGCGGGGATGAACACCAACTTTGTGTTGATTTGCAGTGACCCTTCCTCTGGGACAAGTGAAACAAACTATGCATATTTTTATTTGCCACCTGTCTGTACTCTGGCTCCTTCATCAGGGTTGTCTGGCTTTTTATAAATAATTAGAAGACATTTTGGACTTTCTTCATATAAATGAGAGACGGTGTATCCTAAGCAGAGGATCTGCCTATCTTGTCTAAGTCTTTGTGCTAATTGCTGTTCAATATGCCTCTCAGTCGACAGCCTGAGAAGCGTGAACTTGTGTTGAACTCTGCTGTATGTGAAGATTCTGAGTGATCTCTTTTAGCAACAAAATAGGAGTCGTATCGTTTTCCACTGCACTGCATTCTGGTCTGTTGAGGCTTTTTTTTAAAGTTGTAAACTTTGTATCATTGTGTCTTCTCCAGTAGATTACTCCCAGAAGGTCGAAAGCCATCCACGTTTAAGTCGGTATTAAGGTTTCCAATGTAACCTCTCTCCTTTCTCCATCTAATAGAACCTGAACATTATTTTCTTTTCCATTATTTTTGGGACATTTTTGCCTTTATTTGAAGCTATAAATTGGCCCAACCAGAGCAAAATGGTGACTGTAGTAATAATTCACTGCTCTGTAATTTGTGGAGCTGACACCAAAAGAAAGTCAGTAAAACATATGCAGCACAAACAGACAGAATATAATAACCAAAAAAAGGAAAGCAAACAAGCAACCAAAAGGAATGTATCCAAATAGATGTTTAAATAAACAATGAGCCAAAGTGTTTAAACTAAAACAATTAATGTATAGAGCATCTTAAAGAAAGAACAGGTCGTGCGATGTGGAATGTGTGGACTGTCAAGATGTATTTTTGATGCCAGCGGGCACATTATTAAAATAACAATTAGGATATTATTGTACATAATACATATCGCCCCTTCCTATGTACGGGACACTACTTGAAGCCAGGTGGAAAACATATGCTGTTATATCTGTGGGTGAGACACAATATTTCATCATCGCATCAATGTTCTGTGTTTGGCCAGAGGTAAAATAAGTTAAGAAAAGATGACAAAACATCATCCACTTTAACAATAGTGAAGTGTTTTGAGGCAGATTTTCCCTTTAGCTTCCAGTTGATAGCAGCTATCAGCTCACAGTCACCGCACTTGTCTGCTTGATTCAGTATTCAGACGGAAAGTTGATGAAACATCAAAGCGCCTCTTGTGAAGTGTGAAGATTTCTTTCAGTAAAGGAGTCTTCCACACAAATAACGTGACAGGTTGTGTAATCCTCCTGACAAATCAGTGAATCTCCCGGTTGTTTACACCTTTGTGGTTGAATCCCACCGAGACGTGTCCCTCGGAGTCACGGCCAGCTTTATTAACCAGTTTTGCCTTAATTAGCTAATAGGATTGTTTAACCATAATCCAAGAACAGAATAGCCCACAGGAAGACAAACCCAGACCCTGTGTATGTGTGTGCATGCATGTATTCTCAGCTGTGTGAATGTGTGTGAATGACTGTGTGCGTATAAATAAAATGTTGCATGTGTGCAGGAGCTTCTGTTTGCATAAGACTCTGTGCGTGTGCTCATGCACGTCCCTGTGCACGCGTCATCACAGTCTCCTTCTCTTCTTTAATTAATGCGCCTTCTTGCAAGAGTTTCTCCGAACTCCGCAACAAATTTACCTGATGATGCAAACGGTTGAAAACAGTGGCGGGGTAGTGTCGCGCCTCCTCACCTGACACATTCTCTTTATGCGAGAGCGTTAATGCGTGCCTGTGCTACACTTGTCGTTTTTATATCTGTGTATTTTAGTGGCGCCACAATAGCCAAAAGGCTTATTTTGCTGGAGGAAATGTGAGTGTAAGCAGAATCCTTTGTACTGTGTGTTGAAGAAGAGCAGGCTGTATCACAGTTTGGCAGTGATGTTCTTGCTGCACAAGCACGCAGCTACACATCTATGTACGTGCACACAAATTTTTACTCACACATACCCACGCACAGACGCACATAAGCCTTAGTAAAGTCTAGGTAAAATCTTGATAAAGGGGCAAGAAAGACACAAAACAGCAGCAAAAGGCACCGAGGGCTGAGCTCTGGGTCTACAGAGAAATGATTAGAATTATTTTATAAAACGTGTTCCTTCATTCAGCCAGTGTGGATGTGTAGAAATAGAAGTAGTTCGATTCATATCTTTACTGTCCCATCAGAGAAGTTTCATTCACAGACGGTGTTTAATTTAAACACACTCTTAATAAAAACATAATAAAAAGGGACAATAAAAACCCATATACACTCTAAAACCGCCCCAGCAGCCACCATATGAACGAGCATGAGTCGATAAGACCGGACAGGGACTGTGTAGCTCAATACAGGGCAATAAAGGATGGCAGCTTATGGCCTGGTCACAATGATGAGCAATTTAAAATTGATTTCCCTCTCTGTCCCTTTGTTGCAGCGTGGTGCGTTCGCTTCTCACAGGAACCCGCAGACCAGTCTGTGGTCCTGGGAGAACGGGTGGTGCTCTCCTGCGTGGTCTTCAACTACAGTGGCATCGTGCAGTGGACCAAGGATGGTCTGGCCCTTGGCATCGGAGAGGGTCTCCGAGGTGAGGGGGGGGAGAAATCCTCTAGTGGGTGAGAAAACCCTTGCAGCTTCACCGAGCTGCAGAGATCAAAGTGGAGCGAGGAAGGGGAATAACTCAGCTACGGTTTCGGTTCAGTTTTGACTGTAAGAACCCTGACAAAAGATATTATGGCTGAAAAGTGTAGGATTTTTTAATATTAAGGGATGGAACACTGTACTGAGAGAGTTAAGAGCCAAGAGGTGTGTGAGTGACAGTCTGGGCCAAAATGAGTCCTGTATATTATGCTGAATTAGAGAAAATCCCTCACATTGCTGACAAAAGCAGACATAACATTCGCATTTACATTTTAAGCCGACACACATCCAGAATGACTTTTTGCGAGTACAGCAGTAGAATATGCTTCATTTCAGAGATGTGGTTGCATCACTCGCATCCAAAAGTGAGGAGAGTCAGAAGGTCAAAGCCACAAAAGGAGGAGAAGAGGGTTTTTTTTTCCATTCAAAAAAATTATCTCGGAAACCAAAAGCATAACAAGCAGCGACAATAAGAAAAGCAAAACTGTCCCCCTTGACCTTGGCCCATTTTTGCAAAATATATCCAAACACAGGCCGATTGAATATTGTTAGTGATATTTTATATTTTACTGAAAGCTCTTTGCCCGTGAGAACATTTGAAGAATGGAAATGATCTTTCAGATCTGTTGGATGAAAAGCCCTCTTAATCCTAGAAATGAAAAGCTTCGCTGAGAGATAATAAAATACTGTTTGAGATATAAAAACTTAATTGCTTGATTATAGTCAGCTCTTATAATCTAGAATCAGTTCAATAATTCAGCCTCTTGTAGAGAGAACATATTATGGATTAATTTCACCATATATGCTGAATCAAACAACCTGCATACGGCAGGAAAACAACACTAACTTCCTCTTGACAAATTTAAGTTTTTGTTTTTAAATGTCTTTACACACAAGAGGTGAATTTCATCTGCGATTTTCTTGCCCATTAATAATAATTTTCGAACCAATATTCTGTCAGTGAACTCTTGCACATCAGTAGAGTGCCATTTTTTTGTAGGCCAACCCAGACGTTGGCGTCACCCTGGTTCCCTTGACAAAAGCCAGTGGATTTTTCCTTAGGCTTTTGGATTATTGCAGAAAATAAACTCGGTGAGGAACAACCGTTCATAACACTTGTACATTTTGTTCAAGACAATCTTCACAAATCAACACCACCTTTTTGTCTTCTGAAGCCTAAATACAATCACCAGAAGTAAAAAATTGTATTGTTAGGCTGTAAGAGAACTACATCATGGTGCAGTGACTTCAGTGTCACACCCACTGCTTCCAACTTGTAACTTGATGTAGCCCACTACAAACTCCTTTCCTCTTAGCGTGACCTGATTTAAAATAGTTAGCATGTGTGTGAGTTTAAAAATAATGAGGCTGGAAACGGGGCCTAGTGAGTAGATGAGTCCCCATGTTTGGTGTGATGACGTGTAAAATCCCAGAAGCCTCTGTAGTTTCTTTTAGCCACTTGTTAGCAACCGCCTGTAAAAGCATTAAAAATCAGAAGTGGGGTATTTACTGACATATTTTATATCATCAAACAAAATGTACTGGTCTTGTGTTAAGGCGTCTGACCAAAAAACCCATTGACTTCAGGGCGACGGAAACTAAAGTGCAAAAATGCTAACTCAGTTACAGTTTTTAGGGCTCGCTGTCCAATCACAAGGCAGCTTGCTGGAACGTTGCAACAAGCGCATCTGTCAGTTAAACCTATCGGATTTACTTATGAAAGTGGTGTTCAGTATATATTTTACCCCAGACATGTGGCCAGGTGCTATTCTGTTTTGATCAGGTCGTAGTAGATGCTGTGGCAGCAGCAGCTCCTCAGATTGTCCCATTGACATCCTGGATAGGTCCAAAAACAACAACAACAGTACAGTGTCAACCCCTGCACCAAGCAGTGAAACTTTCCAAGTTGTCTTTTTGTCAATATAGGAATGCACCCAAACTTTTTACTCCTTGTACTTGGCAGACCTGGCACCTGCAGGTCATCATCGATTGATGTGGACTTTTTAGAACTTCACATCACATCCTGTTTTGGTGTGAATACATGTGCTGCGTTTAAATCATCTCTGTAAAGTTTGTCATTGCTTATCGTTTATTAGCGTCTCTCTTGGTGTGTAAAGACCTTTATCCATCAGTATCTCTGATGCTAAGCAGGATTTCCTGGCTGTGTTTGCTCTACATTCGCCCTCACCTGTCAGTCAAACATCCTGTTTCTTAATTTGTGTTGGTGACACAAAACACAGACTGGCCACAGTCCACACGTATCACTGATGCTGTAAATGCTTTTCTCTAGAGGGTGAAACTACGTTAAGTTACACTTATTTATATATGAAAATGTCACAGATATTTACTTGAGTGTAGAACCTACTGACGTACTTATCTGAAAGATGCCATTATGAACAATTGGTACATTAGTGCCCTTTCAGCTCTAAACCACACATCACATTTCTCATCATCACACTGTAAATTAATACACAAAGAATAACACATAGTGAATAGCACACAAATGCATCACATAGACATCCCCCCCCCCACCCACACACACACACACACACACACACACACACACAGTTCAGTTAACCCACCGCCCTGAAGATAATCTAACATGTGATGTAAATCTTTTGTTCTACTCAATTTAATTCACAGGTTCAGTAAAGGTCAGCACACCCCCCCCACCCCCACCCTTCTTTTATTTCCTACTCCTCCATCTTTCGAACTACAGCTTCATCATTTTTGCTTTATGCTGTTCCCAGACCCCCTTCATTGCCTTTCATTTCTCCTCCTCTCCTCCTCCATCTCATCCTTTTCTTCTCCCTCTCTCTTTCCTTCGGTAATGCACTCTTTCTCCTTTGTCTCTTTGTCCTAGACATACCAGCGTGTGATATAAGCATGTTGTCGTCTGCCTGCCTGCTTTTCAACCATCTATCATCACCTTCTGTTCATCTTTTATGCTTAGGTTGTCTGTGTTGTCTCCCAATCTTTTACTGTGCACATGAAGTCATGTGCAGTAGGTGAGGTATGTACGTTGTTAATATAATAATGTGAATTTATTCAGATCTAATGAGGTGTTGGTGGTGCATGAAATATGATGTATAGGAGGTTGTTGTTATGTGCTCGGTATGATTTTATACAGCTGCTGATGACAGTGTAGGCGTGCGGTAAATTTATACCTGCAGTTTGCACGCCCACACACACACACGCAGGAGATGTGTTCATTCACTGACACAAACAGTTTCTCGACATCACATAGTTTTTCATGTGAATGTAAAATACAGGAAATATAAAGAAAACCTTTTTTTTTTTTTTTTTTAGCTGATCAGTGTACAGCAGCATGTACATACATGTATCAGTGCACATATCCAAATGCACTTATCTTCTCATTACTTGCAAACATCAGTAGTGACAGTTTATTGTTCCTCCTCCTCCTTCTCCTTCTCCCCAGGGTGCTCTCACCTCTCTGGTTGCTACACTGTGAGGTGCTGGAGTGGATGATGTAATCTCCACTAATACTTATCCTTCCTCCACTCCGCATCCCAGCTGCCTGCCTTTGCCTTCTGAATCCATGATGTCATGTTTGGGCACGCAGGATCAATGAGTGCCCCCTAGTGGGACGTCATGCTCAGTTATGTCTTTGTCTGAGAGTCCAGGGTTCAAGCAGTGAGGAAAGGGGTTGTTGTGATCGGTGCCGTCTGTGGTCCTGCGGTTATGTATTATACAGGAATTGATGTGGCATCACTGTATATTTGGTGATATTAGACCTTTTAGCTGTTTCCTGCATCTATTACCTCCCTGTGTTTGTGTGAAGGACATCCTGATGATCTGGTTAACGCAAAATGATCTGCACAACTTCTAAAATGCTATATGTGTGCTCTGACATTTTCAAATACAAGTAACATTTTCTTCTGTTGCCTCTGACTGATGATACAATTGCAGCTCAGTTTCTGTTTATTTCAAGTGCTTTTACATTTGCTTTAACTTGTAGACCAGTCAAATGCCAGGTCTCAACTGCAAAGCAAAGCAGAGAAATACAGTTTCATTGTATAAAAGAAGATTAAGACTAAATTGGAAAATAGCTTCTGTTCCTTTTACTATATATTTTGTGTTCTCTCAGCATGTTTTCCAATACTCCCTCACTCACCTTTTGTGGTACTTACCCAGATAGGTTTGCTTTTATTTTCGGAGGTTTTACTGTAATAGGCTACATCTGTCATCTTTCTGCTCTAACCTCAGTAAAACACAGGTGAATGGAAAAACACCTAAAAGGTTCAAAAGCATCTTTTTTTTTAAACAGAAAACGTGTTGCTGCTGCTCTGGATGATCCACAGAAGACACCGTGGACAGTCGTCGTAGGGACTACTTTCTTATGAAAGAAGTAGTCCCCATGGAAACTTTACATTAACAGTCTGTCTTTCTGTTCTTTTCCAGCCTAAATTTTTTGACAGGAGTTAAAAGATAAGGCCAGCCCTTTTCTATATTAACATTTATTTTAGCAGCACTTTTAACACTCCCCATACTGAGAATAAACCAGCAGTAAATTGCTGCTACACACAGTTGATGTCTGTCAGTCCTGGATTAGCTTATTCCTCTGTGCCATAGAGCTCTATTGTTGTTGAAAAACTATTAAAAGGACCTCTGGGAAACAGACCACTGCATAGGGCGACATGTTTCCTTAATCAAAAACACTAAGCCACTAATATTTGTTAAAAATATCTAGAAACCCTGTGATAGACTGGCGACCTGTTCAGTGTGGACCCCGCCTCTCGCCCACTGTCAGCTGGGATTGGCCCCCCCCCGCGACCCAATTCAGTAATAAGCTGTATAGATAACGGATAGTTATCTAGAAATCTTCTGCTTTGACTCTTGCTTACTTCAGTGCTGTAAAAGATAACGGCAGTTTGCAGCCCTCGGGGCAACATTTTTAACAAATATTACTGTCTGGTGTTTTGTAATGAAGAAACATGTCACCCAGTGCAGCGATGTATTTTACTGCTGTGTTTTTAATCATTCTGAACAACAGAGGTCTATGGCATAGACAAACAAGCTGTTCTAAGACTAACAGATTAACATGCATTAATAGTGAGTAGTGGCAATTCAGTGTTGGTATTAACCTCTGTATGCGGAGTGTTGAAAATACTGTTAATATAGAAAATGACTGACCTTATCCTTTAAAGGTTTATGACTTCCAAAAGTGATCATCAAAAACCTAAGACTTTCTTTGTAACAAAAACTATCATGTTTAAAAAAAATCCCGGCTCTGAAATGTAAACAAGGAGCTTTACTTCTCCAGAATCAGCTTTACCAGCCAGGTGTGTTGGACACGCGGGGAATTTGACTCCAGTACAGTGGCTCTCAATGTGTTTGTACAATGTTCTTCTGTAAAGCAGCGAACAGACAAGTAAACAAGATAAGGCTGAGAGAACATAAAGGAAGGAAAAAAGTGCAAACAAGAAAAAGGAGTGTGCATTAGAAAAAAATAAAGTACAGTACTTATAAATAGAGAACTATATGTGCACAGTTTAGATGCATGTTCCAGATGGATATATACAAGGTATTGCACTGAGTTGTTGTTCTGTTATACAGTCAAGGGTTCAACCTCCCATCTGTAGGCCGACTCATCACCATCTCGGATGAGACCGATGACTGTTGTGCCATCTGCAAACTCGAGAAGTTTAACTGAGGGGTGCAGTCATTTGTGTAGAGGGAAAGCAGCAGAGGGGAGAGCACACATCCCTGGGGAGCGCCTGTGCTGATAGTCAGGGTGCTGGATGTGGTTTTCCCCAGCCTCACTTGCTGCTTCCTGTCTGTCAGAAAGCAGGTGATCCACTGACAGGTGGGGGCAGGCACAGTGAGCTGTGCCACGTCCCTGGAGAGTCAAGGTGTTGCAGGATGTAATGCAGTACCATGCTCACTGCATCGTCCACTGACCTGTTTGCCTGGTAGGCAAACTGCAGAGGGTCCAGCAGGGGGTCTATGATGTCCTTCAGGTGGGCCGACACCAGTCTTTTAAAGGACTTCATAACTACAGATGTCAGGGCAACAGGTCTGTAGTCGTTCATTCTGCTGATGGACTGAACTGAACTCATGCAGTTGTCTTTGAAGCAGAGAGAAATACAAATTCTTTTTCCAAAACCTAATATGAAGGTGTTACTACCTGAAACTCATCACTTACCGTTTCTAAAATAAAGCCATTATCCTCCAACACAGACCTTGTGTGAAGACAGCACTATGATGACTCATGACTGTATTTGTGCACATAATGTAATTTTTCCTTCATGCCACCAGTCATTTTATGGCATGCTATTTTTAAATTACAGCCCAGAAGTTCATTTTCCAAACTCGACAGGCTTTTCCGACCTGCAAATAAACCATAGTATGATGCATGACTTTGAGTGGAACTAAAATAGAAATGCCAACAAGTGCATGAATCTCAGTTTTCTTCTGGCTGTCTCTGCTTCTATTTAACTGCAAACCTGGTGTGTGTCTCCCGCAGCCTGGCCCAGGTACCGTGTCCTGCGGGCTCTGGACATCGGCCAGTACAACTTGGAGATCTCCAATGCAGAGTTGTCTGATGACTCTCTATACGAGTGTCAGGCTACAGAGGCCGCCCTGCGCTCCAGGAGGGCCAAACTCAACGTGCTCAGTAAGTGAACTGATGCAGGAGGCATAGTGTTTTCAGATTTTACCAACAAAGTTTTAGCTAAGGACCTTTCTCAAACTAATCTACTGAATGCATGTACTGATTATGTACGTTTACCTGCATCCATGAGTGCACACTTGCATAAACGAGTTCTTGTTAAAGCGTGAATTTGTGTGCATCACTCCTCCAGTCCCCCCAGAGGACCCAGTAGTTGAGGGATCTCCAGAGCTCCTGCTGATGGCTGGGACTCCATACAACCTGACCTGTGTGACCCGCGGAGCCAAGCCTGCAGCACACATCCAGTGGACCAAGGATGGAGTCGCTGTGGAAGGAGCCCACCAGTCCACGGTGACTCACACACCCACGCAAACATGCACAGGGGAAGCGTCAAGCAACATGACCCACGAGCTTATTACACTACAATGAGATGTGCAGTTTTTTGTTGTTGTTGTTGCCTCCAAAGAGTTTACAGTGCAAATTCTAGGACGTAGAATCTGCTTCTTAGTAAAATCCACTTTCAGGGAGTTTGTTTGTTTATAGGGTTTTTACTGTGGGTATTGTGAAGAGGAATTACAGTATATACACCTCAGGACACGCAGCACCCCTGGAGTCCTGCATTAGAGAAATAGTGTGCAGTGCATGTGCAGATGGGGGACCATATTTATTAAGTTATGCTTTTGAATCCTTACTAATTACAGTTTCTGACCTGTTAACCACACTGGTTCACACATCCACACTGTCAGTAAACTGTAGGTTTTATAGTACCCCAAGGAAAGAGAAGTACGTGTAGATACAAAACGCACACATACAAGACATTAGTTATTTTCTACACTTTACGGTCATGACAAAACCTGAAACACAAAAGACCCAAGATATGTTTAATTAACCCATATGCACAGGCTCTCTTTCTAACACACACTCAGTGTACTAGGTGACAATATATCTGTGATATATTTTGCACTTTTCTCCCACATTCACACTCCCCTAGCTCTCGTATACTCTCCTACACACATGAAATGATGCCTGCAAGCTCGCACACACATACTCAAATATGCACAGAGAAGCAGCAGTAAACACTGACTCACACAGATGTTTTTACATCTCTTGCAGTCAGTTTCATGCTCCCCACACATGCTCATACATATTACATGCTGCTCTTATGTTACTGTGTTACTGACCACGCATTTACACTACAGGGAACGCTGTACACCCTTTCTTGACAGATATTATAGCTGCACTTCAAAACACCCAACCTTCTCAGTCCAAGAAAACTGGCTTTTATATTCTTATTGTACAGAAGAAGATTTTTACAGTAGCTCATGTTTTATGGCTGCAGCTAAGGATTATTTTTATTACTGACTGAAGTATGAAGGATGCATATGAGACATCCCATTACATGTCACAAACTGTGAGCAATGCTTCTTCTGTCCGATAAATTAACCAAAACCCAAATATATTCAGTCTGCAATGACATAGAAGTGAGATACTGTTTCTTTACAGCTTTATCAGCTCATATCTGCTTTCATTTTAGAGGCCAATGTCATTATAAAATTGAATTGCTTGCATTAATTGAAAGAGCATTTTGTGGTTACTTTGCACCATTAAACTTCTTAATTACAATGTGCAAGAACATGGATATTTTAAATACATTTTTTGTATTTGCATTGCATCATGTCTAAAAGTTGTTTCATTCTGTGTCTATCTTCAGATAACTTTCTTCAGTTCTTTTGGTGCCAGTAGTAACCCTCCTGTGTCTCTCCTCCTTCCTCTCGCCCTTCCTCTCATTCCTGTTTTCCTGTTTTCTTCTTTGATTTTTCTCTGTTGGTTCCTCCTCTTTAATTCTACCCACAACCCTCCTCTCCTACTTTTCTTGTTGAACAGGAGGTGCTGCCGGACAGGAAACGAGTGACAACCAGGAGCTACCTGCCCATCACGCCAGTCGACGCCGACAGCGGCTGCAACTTCACCTGTGTGGCGAGTAACCCAGCAGTGCCCATGGGCAAACGAGCTACCGTCAACCTCAACGTCCACCGTACGTTGCTCATTTTCCTCTGTGGTAATGTAAAGCTGCATAGGTGGTACTCAGACGACTGAGGCCAAGAATCACTCATCTTGATCAGCTGCCACAGCACTGTAATTTATCAACCAAATAACGCATCCTCGGCTCATTATTCACAGCCTCTATTTTTCACTGTTCTCCAACCTGGACCTGATTTGCCTGCTTGTGTTGCTTTGGTGCCAGTTTTTTTAATATAATGTATACTTAAAACAGATTTCCTTCAACATCTGCAAAATCAGAAACTGTTCGTGAAAAAATAAGGAAGGACTGCTCACAAGTAAACTACAGTTTGAATATTCTATCATGTTTTTAAACCCAGTCTAGTTAGTAATTAGTGGGATAATAACTGCACTAACAGTGGATGCTGAATCGGTGCTGTGTTAGCAGGAAGGCTGTAGAGAAGTCGTATTTTGCAAGACCAGATTTTATTGTGAAATGTAGCATTTGTGTGACTTGTTTTGTGGGAAATCAATTCTGTTACTGCTTGGCAAAACACACCAGTAATTTGTACCGTCATTCAGTTTATCTGTAATTGTGCACTGAATATGCATCTTTCCATGTGTAGATCCTCCTACGGTGACCCTGTCCATCGAACCTCGCTCTGTCCTGGAGGGGGAGAGAGTCACCTTCACCTGCCAGGCCACTGCCAACCCTCCCATCATGGGCTACAGGTAGGGACAACTTTTTACCAAAAATGAACTTAACATTTCTGCAAAATATATGTTACCATGCCATTTAACAGAAGGCTGCAGCTTTTCAATGCTGGTCCTGCAGAGCAACATTTGGAGCTCGATCAGTTGTTAATGCCTATAGGTTTTCTTTCACCTAGCCCAATCTGTTTGAATCCAGCATCCGGGGGTGGTCCTGAATTGTAATTTCTGCTTAGAGAACAAAATTGGTTCAAGTATTGAACATTTGTACAATTAAACACTGGCTTTTCTCTAAAGTGACACTACTGAAGCAGTGAAATTGCTAAATGCTGGACTTTACCACAGTGGTTTTAATCTGAGGTTTGAAACTCCACCAGAAGGTCCCGATGTGGGAGCTCTGCCAAGTACTTAGGCACTAAGCCTATTGAGTGTATATTAAAATGTCATGTAATGGCAGATGTGCAATATGGTTATATGATTTTGAGCTAGATATCTGTCAACCTACAGAATGGATAACTGAGATGAAGGGAAATTTATCTTTTTATCTTGCAACTGTTCCCTCAGGTAGTGACACCAAAGCCGTATAAATCTTTTTTATAGCTTTAATTGAAAATAAAACATGCATGTCTAATAGTGGAAATCACACATTTGGATCACAACCAAAAAGTTATAAAAGCCATTATTCTTCTGATGTCTCCTGCTGGCAAAGAGACATGATGATTTTTGTAACGGTGATGTGCGTTCCTCCGTCAGGTGGGCTAAAGGTGGCGTGCTGCTGGAGGGCGCCAGGGAGAGCGTGTTTGTCACCACAGCAGATCACTCCTTCTTCACTGAGCCCGTGTCCTGTCAGGTGTTCAACGCCGTGGGAAGCACCAACGTCAGCATTCTGGTGGATGTGCACTGTGAGTAGAGGGCAAACACTGCACTGAGCTGGGTGGGATCCTGATAGCGTGGGGGTGTAGTAAATATATTTATGTGGATTTGTTAAGAGAACCACACAGTTTGTATTTATTGTGCTCTCAGTTAATTCAGTTCAAGTCAACAAAGCCTTATGTTTGTTGTCAAAGTCTATATGTAAATGATAACAAATACACAATCAGAAAAATTGTGTGTATTAAAGTAGAAGACAAAAACACATCTAGCTTAGTGACAAGTGGTTTTATTCTCCTGCTGGTTCTGTTTCATGAACAGTTTTTTCAAGGCCAGCTTTTTTTTTATCTAATAAGTTCTACAAGAAATTTGGAGGAAAACTATTTCTTTTATTTTCAGTCATTTATTCCTAACACCATTTTTAGCCACTTGCTTTCTATTCATTTCTTCTCTCAGTTGGTCCAATACTGGTGGTTGAACCCAGGCCAGTAACAGTGGACGTCGACTCTGACGTCACTCTGAACTGCAAATGGTCTGGAAACCCTCCTCTCACCCTCACCTGGACCAAGAAGGGCTCCAGCATGGTGAGAACATATGAGGATGTACCAAATCCCAGTCACAACCCACTGTACTGTATATTACTGTCTACGACCCCAACCTCATAAATGTTTGCTCAGTTGCAAAGAAGACAAGTTAGTACTGAGAATCTGTCTTCATATCTTAAATCTTTAATTCATGCCTTACAAGTTAAGAAAAGCTTCAAGGAAAAAACTAATAGAGCCTGCTGAGTAAATCAACATGTTTTATTAATTATAGATCCAACTCCCTCCCTCCCTCTTTTTAATATCTCTCCCCGTCTGTCTCTCTCCACCTCACAAACCTACTGCACACTTGTCTACTTGTGTATGTGTCCAGGTGCTCAGCAACAACAACCAGCTGTATCTGAAGTCGGTGAGCCAGGCTGATGCAGGCCAGTATGTCTGTAAGGCCATTGTGCCCCGGATTGGAGTCGGAGAGACTGAGGTTACACTCACCGTCAATGGTCAGTTGCTGTTCAGTTGTTATTAATAACAGTATTGATGTGAGCGCAAATTATGAAATGCGTATCCAGATGTTTCCATGCACAGCAAAAAGCAAGATGGTGGGATATTTACTAAACCGCTTGTAAATTACCATCAGTCTGCAATTAAGTAGTCCATGTGCATTCACTTTCAGATCTGCATGTCGGACTGAGGGCGGAGCAGAGGTGGGCAGGGGGGTAGCTGTGTTCTTTTGTGTTATAGAACATAACCACCATGACACAATCAGAAAATAACTTCTGCTTTATTCGATGACACAATCAGAAAATAACTTCTGCTAGATGCACTGCTTTATTCACACTAACACTGCTCCCTCTCTTCATTCTCTCTAGCTCACTCATCTGTCTGTGCTCTCACTTTCTCTCTCTCTCTCTCTGTGGAGTGGGAAATGGTGCCCAAATTTCAGTGCCTGCTAGAGAGAGAGAGAGAGACAGAGGGAGAAAGAGACAGACTGAGGGGGGAGAGAGAGGGAGACAGAGAAACAGAGAGAGAGGGAGGGAGAGACATAGGGAGAGAAACAACAAGGGAGAGAGAAACCGTGAGAGGGGGAGAGAGGGTGGCAGAGAGAGGGAGGGGGAGACCGAGGGAGAAAGAGACAGACCGAGAGAGAAACAGAGAGGGAGGGAGAGAGAGAGTGACAGGGAGAGAGAAACAGCGAGAGAGAGAGGGACAGCCAGGGGGCGACCGAGAGGGATAGAGAGGGTGACAGGGAGAGAGAAACAGTGAGAGGGGGCGAGAGGGTGACAGAGGGAGGGGGAGACCGAGAGAGACAGAGGGAGAAAGGGACAGACAGAGAAGAAGAGAGAGAGGGTGACAGGGAGAGAGGGGGGGAGGGAGAAACAGAGAGACAGAGAGAGAGAGAGAGACCAGATGTAGTTGAGCAAGCTAGAGAATGAATGAAGAGGAGCAGTGTTGGTCAGAATAAAGCAGTGAATCAAAGAGGTAAAATGTTATTTTCTGACTGTACCATGGTGTTTATGTTCTATAGCACAAAAACACAGCTACACCTCTGCACAACCCTGAAGAAAGGATTTTGTGTGAATGCAGAGTGCGCTTACATCCTCCTGTCTGTTCTGCTATGGCCTCCGACCTGCACCATGCGTTTAACTAAGCTCCGCCCCCAGTCCGTCACAGAGATGCACAGATCTGAAACTGAATGCAGGTAGCTACTGTAATCACTTAGGAAGCGCATTGCATTCACCAAACAAAAAAAAAACAAAACAAAGGATTTTATTATGAGATAACACAGGAGTTGGAGTGCTGCAGAATTTACCTGAAATTCATTAAGTTTTAACAAATTTTTTAGTATCAAATTAATTCGGTGATAGTTGTCAGTGCATCCAATAGTAACAACAAAAGTGAACTGTTAATAATTCGGATACTTGGTGGTGCATAACGTAAACGAATATAGGCTGAAAATGGGGTTCAAAGTTGCTGCCTATGGTACAACTCCCTCTACACACCCATCAGGCATAACGTTATGACCACCTGCACTTCAATGCAACACTTCCGCCTTAACAGTCAGAGGTGTCTGTATAGTATTAACCTGCCCATTGACATGCAGTACGTGAGAGGGTCAGAATACTAGGAACACCTCTGGATACAATGTTGTCCAGTACAACAACACCTTTAACTGTGACCTCAATAATAAACATATCATTGAGTTTATACATTTGACAATCTCACCAAAAAGACATTTTGAGCTTCATAAACACAGACATTAAGAGAGAAGTGTTGCACTGAAGTGCATACAGATGTATGGATGGTCATAATGTTATGCCTGATCGGTGTATACAGTACATGCACTGAGCAGGAGTTGGAAAACTTCAGATCCTGCTTGAGAAACATTGGGTTTTTAAGATTTTGTGAGTATTAATGCAATTTTGACAGCACATCCAGCAGTAGGCCAGGTAGCATAATGAGTTGCTAAGCGCTAATTCAGCATATTTAGCGTTTCAAAACAAACAAACATAGGCTAGGCTAAAAATAACACCCACATAACATATCCTAGCCTACTTCCTGTTTCTTGTCAAAAGTTATCTGTTTGAACAAGCGACGACTATTCATGTTTAATGTTGTCAAATTGTGAAATCAGGATCTCTCTTTCTGTTTAAGAAGACAAAGGCATTATAGGCTACCTGATTTAATTGTCTCGATCCTGTAAGTATAATGTTGTCATAGGAGTTACTGTGGGCTGCAGTTTGGGTGCTGTTTTTAGCCTATATTAGGTTTTTGGAGCGCCAAGTACACCCTTATTAACTATTATCAGCTCATTTTTGCTCTGTGCTATTGGGTGTACTGAGAGAATTGCGTTAATACTGAAGAAACATTAAAAACCCAATGTTTCCCAAGCAGGTTCTGAAGTTTTCCAGCTTCTGCTCAGTACATGTACTGTATATACTGTATAATGAGTTACACTGTAGGCAGCAACTTTGAAGCCTGTAAGTTTTGGAACACAAAGTGTGCAAATTAACTTAACAGTTCACCTTTGCTATGCACTATTGGATGTACCGACAACTATCACTGAATTACTTCGATACGGAAGAATTTGTTAAAAGGCAGGTTCTACAGCGTTCCAACCCCTGCATTATCCTACGCGATACTGTAAGCTCTTCCAATTTGTTTTTCTTTGGTGAATGCAGTGTGCTTTGTAAATTCCCAATTTGTTTTTAAACTAACAAAATCAGAAAACAGCTGTTTGTTTCCCTATTTCTAAATGGCACTTGAGAAACAACTGCTTGTTTTGTGATGTTGGTTTTCTCATTTCAAACCAAAAATACAGCGGCCATTGGGTCAACACCCACTCCCCTCCTCAAACTCAGTCTCAACACTGACGAGCCACTGGTACACCTGCTTTCTCTTGTCATTTAATTTCAGCCACCGAGGGGATTTCTATATATTTCTATTCTCTAGCTCTAAATGCAAACACCTTTACATATTACATGAGATCAAACATTCAGATTCCAGTGGTGCCGTTATCTTTTTCCCCAGCGCCAAACCTCGCGGCGACTTCTGAGTAAATATCCCCCAGTGTGTTTATTTTTATCTAGAAATCAGTCTGGAGCCGTGTAAGTATCTGTATGTCCCTGGCAGCTAAAGCCAGTGAACGTACAGAACAGAGTACAGTACTGCATGGTTCTAATAACACTGTCAACCTGGCCTGATTCATTCCAACACAAGCCTGACCCGAGTCCAACAGTTAATTTTTTTAGCTGTAAACTGCTCCAAAGCCAATATTTCAATGCCACAAGCCTCGTCCAGAAAGACCATCAATTACCTGATAAATCAACACCGTTTCACCAAGAACGTAATAGAAAGCAAGTTCAAATGCTCCCTAATCCTTCACCAGCTGACAAAGTGCCTGGTCAAACCAATGGCGTTCACCGGCACATCCCTACAAAACAGAGTACAGTAAGTGGTGCTGAATGCCCGGGGACATGGCGACTGCTCTCACAATCGTTCACCGACAACACAATATGTTAACATGGTTAATTCTAAGCAACCTATTCATACCATCCACTCCTTTTTTCACGAATGACTGCAAACCATGATGCGGCACCTTCGTGGAGTTGTTTTCACTCCAGCAGAGTTAAGCTATGCTGGATGCTGCATAGATATAACAGCACTTTCCACTTTGGGCTCTGAAGCTGTTATACTGACTGTCCACAACTAAAATTCTCATCTATAGATTGTCTGCGCAAGCAGCTTTTTATGTCACATAGTTATGCTTTAAGTCTTGGACATGGGAATCCACTATTCATTTCTCGTTTCAAGTGTCATTGTTGTCTCCTACAACCACGACAGTCTCAGCTGTAAATACACAAAGCAGAGAAAATGTAAATTGTGTCTTATCCTCACTGGAGTTCTCATATTTATGTAAATGTGGTAAATATCCTCCAACCCTTTCTAATTCCTCCCTGAGTGTACGTCTCTCTGCCCTGTGCTATCTCAGGCCCTCCAATCATCTCCAGTGAGCCGGTCCAGTATGCTGTCAGAGGAGAGAGAGGGGAGATCAAGTGTTACATCGCCAGCACCCCCCCACCTGATAAGATTGTAAGTCCATCTTGGGAGGTGTAATCGGCCACAGAGGTGCTCGACCTTTTCAGATTGCATCTGCCTCAAGCGGAATCCGGATCACAACTCTTTGTCCACCCTGGAAAAAAACAGAATGATCTTTAGTTTCTCTTTTCAGCTTCTATTACTAGCTAAGTGTCATTGTTCTCCAACTGTGTCACAAGAACAATCTGTTCCTTCTCTGTGGAGGAAGGTGTGACTCATCAAAAAACAGCTGCTGTGGTGTTTGGTTCAAATGAAAGGAGACGGTGTGCTAGAGACATGCAGAAAATCCAGAGTGCAGCACTCGATTAAACTACAGTTTAATATATATGTGCGTTATATAACTTATGACATAAGTGGTATTGTGTGTGATTATACTGTAAACCTTAAAAAAAGAAAATAGCAAACTGCTCACAAATCACAAATACAAAGGCTGAAAACGAAATAAATCTAGTAAAGTCATCCGAGCCTGAAAGCTAGGATGAGTGAGATCGAGTGTGGGGGTGAAACAGATTGAAATGAAAGAGCCAGAGAGATGGAGAGTAAAAAACCTGTACCTTTCAGCATCAATTATCCAATTGTGCAATGCCGACATGACAGAAATCAGAGCTTTTAGGAAGCTTCAGTTCCTTTGCTGCACTGGCAGAGAGCTCAGAGCGTATAATGTGATACGACACTATAGTCTCAGCTTAATGCAGAGACACAAGGACTTATAAAATATGGAGTGTGATGCTGTGTGTAAAAGAGTCGGTGAGAGAAACTATGGTGATAAAGAAAGAACCAAGGCCTGTGAGAAGCCGACAGTGACAGAAAAAGACGCATTATGTGAGATTGTCAGGGGAAAAAAAGAGGATTAAGCAGAAGATTTGGAGCTTTTTAAAATTTCTCCCTCACTGAGTCTTGATCATCTTCTCCTGTTTAATTTTTTCAAGCCAGGTTAAAAGGTATATTAGCCCAACATGAGTCTATGTATATTTAATCTCATCATGCTGCATACTTAATACTTTAATACCTCCCTCAGCAGATACTGAGTAGAAAAAGCTGCTTGAGTTCTTAATCACGAATGTACACTTGCTGCATTGTGTGTGTTTCTCTGATTTGTTGTTTCTGTAATTTTAATTAGGCTTGCTGTATACTGCACGGGGGGGGAACTAGTTACCAGGGTGTGAGAATCTAATTTGTTTTGCTTAAAATATATTTCCTGCACAGATTGGCGTTGGTTTCTCTTAACCTTTCTGAACACAGCCCATCTGTTGGCTTAATGTTTACTTGTGACTCTGTACCTGAGTCTATTGTTGTTAACACGCTTTAGCATAAGATAAAGTGACATTAGCATTATTGATCCCTGAGGGGAAATAGAGGATTGCAGCAGTAAACAGTAGAGTTTAGATCAAAATAAAACAAATTAAACATATTGGTGTCTTCATCACACTAATCCAGAGCTCCTACCGGCAGGAACATCTGATTTACAGATGTTTTAGCCTGCCGGTATACCAGGACTTTGGTCTTAAATTACAGCACAGCTGCTGTGCTTTATAAATAGTGGCCAAATTGAGCAAGTGCTAATACAGATGAAACGAGAATACAGCCAAGCAGAGGTATTAAATGGCCAGCTCTGAACAACGTGACGAACACACACAACAATACAAACACAGGGGCTAAAGCTCAGGAGCACAGCGATACAAACAGCTGACACGGCAAGGCAACTGGCTGAAGACAGCACAACACACAAACAGGCACAGAACTAACAATTGCTCAGACAACAAGTCAAACTCAGGTAAAAAATAACAGCACCAAAAATACCAGCTTGACTACAGAGAGAAGACAATAAGCTCTAGGAAGCAGTAACAGGTAGGACACTCTGAGAACAGGAAGCATTCAAGTAACTATATACCAAGATCTACAAAGTACAGGCACTACAGAAAAAACGGACTCACAGCTTACACATAACCAAGAAACTGGCCAGGTATCAGAGGACGCCAAGTGTGCATACAAGCATGGATAGATTACTGAACAGGCCCAAAGGATCGGGGGCCCCTGGGCCAGAGCCTCTGTATGAAGTGACTTAACATTTCTTGTTGGAAAGTGAAACAACTACAAAGACATGAAACAAGTACAAGGACATGCAGAACAACCTCTGAGATAAAAAAGCAAAAATGTGCAAAAATAACCACAGTCACTAAAAAGAGAAGCAAAATCACAAAAAAAAGAAATGAACAAAAACTGAGTGAAGTAAAGTAACAGATGCAAAATGACCACAGATGCAGTTATGATGAAAAGAAGGTACACCCTCCTTCAGTTCTATATTACTATCCATCAGGGCCTTAAAAACTATAGCATGGACTTCGCCACCATCTATAATAATCTATATAAGATTATAATAACAACAACAACAACAACAATGATAACCTCAGGTAACAGCAGCAAACCAACAGATTTCAATATGTGGTCAGTGCTTCCCAAAAGTAAACCAACATTAATAAATCAAGTGGGAATATAAAAGTATACCCTCCTACTTCCACGATCATTGAGACTAAGCACAGCCAGCTGATACTAATCAAATGCACAAGATTAGTCACTCATCATTAAGTGTGACTCCCTGTATAAAAGCAGAACTTTTGGTAGTTCTGGAGCACTGAGGTGTGTAACTACATCATGCCAAGAAAAAAAGGACATCACCCATGACCTCAGAGAAGCAACAGTCACTGCTCATCAGTCTGGAGAGGGTTACAGGGCCATCTCGAAACAATTTGGAACATCTCAAAATCCACCATTCTACAGTAAGACAGACTGTTTACTAATGGAGAGCCTTCAAAACAGCTGCCAATCTTTCTAGGAGCAGGCATTGCAGCAAATCCAGCCCAAGGTCAGATCATTCAATGGCCAGAGGTATAAAATAAAAAAAAGCTACATTATGTGACCTACAGGCCTCTATAAGCACATTAAATGTTTAGGTTTACAAGAGCACAGTTAGAAAAAGACAAGAATGGCTTTCACAAAAAAGGTGTCTAGGGAAAAGTCTTTTCTCTCCAAACAGAATATGGCAGCAAGACTCAGGTTTGCAAAACTGCATCTGAACAAATCACAGAGGTTTTGGAACATCCCTTGGACTGATGAAACCAAAGTGGAGATGTCTGGGCATCATGCACACATATCACCATAAACACCACATATCAACGGTGGTGGAGGACTGATGATTGGGGCTTGTTTTGCAGCCACAGGACCTGGAAAACTTCCAGTCACTGAGATGACAATGAGCTCCACTTTATACCAGAATATTCTTGAGACAAATGTGAGGCCATCTGTCCAGCAGCTTAAACTGGGCTGACACTGGGTCATGCAATAAGACAATGACACCAAACACATCAGCAAATCGACATCTGAATGAATAAAGAAGACAAATAAAAATCAAGGAGGTGGAATGGCATAAGTCAAAGTCCAGACCTCAGCCGCACTGAGATGCTGTGTCAGGATGTTGAGCTGTGCATAAGCAAGTGCCCTCCAATATCAATTAACTGAAGCAATGTTGTAGAGAAGAGTGGGCCAGCATTTCTCCACAACGATATGAGAGATTGATCAACTCCGATCAATTACATCAAGCTATTGCTGCTAAAGGTGGTTCTACATGTTACCCACTTATAGGGTGTACTTTTATTTTCCCACCTGGTTTCTGAAATGTCGAGGTCCACACAATTGTTTTAGGCTTTGATAAAAACAGAATTTGAGGAGGGTGTACTTTCTTTTTTACCATGACTGTGTAAACACCAGTGGCGGGCCGTCAGGGCCAGCAAGGCCTTCTCTGCTGGCCTAAACACTATTAGAAGCACTGACCTACATTTACAACCGAAATTCTAATATTTGTTCCATGAAATTGTATTAATTTATTCCCAACAGTCTGTTCTCTTCATTTCGTAGTATTTCTCTTGGCTGCACCGCTTCCAGTACGTGTATGTGGATGTTAGATTTTTTGTCCAATCAGATTTCAGCCTCTATGTGTTGCCATGTCAATCTAATCTGCCCAGGGCCTTCAGAATCAGAAGTGCTGGCCCATGTAACTTAAACTATATTAGCAATGGGACTGTTTCTTTAACCAATCAGATTTCAAATTCGCCTCACAGGGCCAGCTAGCTGGCCCACAATGATGTCAGCATTTTTCCGTTCTCTGATTGGTTGGTCAGAGCAAACCTAGAAAAGGGCTTACGATGGAACTGAAACGCAGAGATCACAGTTGCGGTTGTAGTATAGAGGTTTTGGAGGTGTCTTAACTGGGTTTCTTGCTTCAGTAAAAACGGTATTCACCCTCAATATGTGAAATACCTCTCTCTCTGTAATGCCACACTTTATTATATTGCGTTTTTGTATAGCATTGATGGTTTCTATAATTGCGACATACAGTGGTGATATTAAGAGGTGAATTAAGTCGGGTAAGTCTCCACTGAAGGCCCAGGTACCAAATGCACGGCCCGCCACTGGTAAACACAAAATGACCACAGAGATGCAAAACAAAACATAAAGCACTAAACAAACCAGAAAGAGATGAAGGAATTAAAAAGAGAAGCAACAATTAGAAAGAAATGAAAAACAACCAAAGACATGCAAACTGGCCACAACTAGATGCAAAATTATTTAAACAAGATGCAAATCGACCACTGAGATGCAAAACAAACTACAAAGTGATGCAAAACTACCAGATAGAGGCTCTTAAACTCTTGGGTCTTGCACCTATGTAGGAGGTTGGGGGTCTTTTACTGCGCCCCGTGTCATGATCTGTCCTGCATACAAGAGAGTCTAAACAAAGAAACAAGGCAAACAGGCCCAAATCCAAAAGGAAAAGTGGGTTACAGGAGAAAATACAGGGGCCAGGTGTTTTAGAGTGTTTGAGGGGTAATTCCTATGCCGTCATTCCAATGCCCCCGGGAACCACGCTGTACATGTTTCCATCGTCTCAGAAACAGTTCGTTCCCAAGCTGAAAAATGTGATATCTGGCCCTGCTCAGAAGAGTCCCAAAGCGTGCTACTCCGCCCCCAACCCGGCCGTCTACATCACTACATTCTAATTGGCAGAAAGAAAACTTGAACAACAGTAACTGTCTCAGCTGAAGAAAGAGACTCGCCCTCTTAAAAAAAAGGAGGAGATGGCTGGCCAGCTGGTCTGGGTATTGAGCGGTTCCCGGTGGCAGTGAAATGACGGCATTAGTCACCGATCCATCACTGAATAAAAGCAGAGTGCTGTCTTATAAGCTGACTGACTGCAGGTGCATGAAGCCAGATCTAACCAGAGCGGGTAAAGCTGGAGCAAAAATCAAAAACAAGACAGGGGTGGAAGAGCACCAAAGTAAAAGCTCTAAACAGAAAGTGCTGTGACTCACTGATACTTCTACAATATGTGTTTCAAGGTTTGGGCATGGAAGGAGAACGTGTGGGAGAAGGAGAAGGGCACCCTGATGGAGAGGTACACCGTGGAGCAGAGTAAACCTCCATCCCAGGGCGGCGCCGTTCTCTCCACACTCACCATCAACAATGTCATGGAGTCCGACTTCCACTCGCCATACAACTGCACCGCCTGGAACGCCTTCGGACCGGGCACCATGATCATCACCCTGGAGGAAACGGGTATGGAAGCAAATAAGACTTTGGGTGTCAGCTGAAAACAGTAATCCTAACACATACAGCAGTTTTTATTCATATTGTAGCAGAAACAAACTAATCCTCCAGATTTACACTACTTCTGAAGTATTACCAATGTCATGTCAGTTAATTGACACAATTGTGGCAAATGATATTCAATTCAAGGACTTTATTAAACTGTAGCTGAGGGTTTTTAAGTTAAATGCACCCTGTGAAGTTTTTTTTTATACTGGTAGTGGTCCTGTTGATGGATGCATTATGAGAACTGCATACTTTGAAATAGCATCCATTCATTCACCTGGGGAGAAAAAAGTAGCCTGGTCCTGTACATGTTTTATGAGAAAGAAAATGTGTTCATCCGGCTTGTTAGGCTTTAAGGAAACATTAAACTGAGAAACACTGTTACATTCAGTGCTTCTGAATTTAATGTATCAAAAACCAAACAGTTGTTTACAGTAAAAACTCTACAGGGTACCTTTAATGTCCCTGAATAACATGCTCATCTCTCTCACAAACGGAAGCGCCCCTGAGCCAGATTATTAAGTCGTGGCCTCAGCTGGAGGATGGATAGTGGTGCTGCTTCATTCTGGATGGTTACTCGTTTTATTTAGAGAGCTTGCTGTGTGACATTACATTGAGAAAAAAATTTTTTTTTCATGCTCTTTCAGCTTTATTCATTCAGCTGTCAGATTTTGTAGGCTTCAGAAAATCTATCATCTTAAAGAGAGAGAGGAGAAGGCTAAGTGTTTTATCCCCTGTCTGACATGCATGCCTTATCAATATAACCGGCTCACAGATATGACATATTAAGCTAAGAAACCACAGGATTTATGCTTAAAGACACATCTGTGCAGGTTTCTGTAACAATGAGGGAGCAGCTGTCTCTCAACCCAGACCCTCTCTCTTTTTCAGATATTGTTCCAGTGGGAATTATCGCCGGTGGAACAGTGGGCTCCTCAATTCTACTGATTATGTTACTACTGGCACTCGGCTTCTTCCTCTACCGCCAACGCAAAGGCAGTGAGTGCACTCAGTGCTTCTCTAGTGTGTGCACGGGCACGTGCACACACACACGTACTACATGTTTGTCAGTCTCTTGGTCCACTCTCCCTGTCTGTCATTTTACCTTTACACAAAAAGGAGCGTATGCCAGCTGTACAGCTTTTATTTAAAGAAGATTCATGAATATTCGTATAATAAGCCAAACTGCCTTAAAACGCCTACTTTATGTTTCCCTTTTCATTCTTCCATTATGGAACAGTACGATCATTTATACAATAGGCTGTATTTATATGCTACACATACACTAGATAGTGTCCTTAAATAACATGGCATTTAATGTGATGAGCCGAACTCCGATATTATTTCTACAGCAATCTGTTTGGCATACACAAACAACGCTTCAACGTACCACAGAGCTACAGTATGAACACGTGGCATCTTCAAGTTTAATTTCAGGCCACTCCACAGCAGCTAAAGAACTGGGAAAGACAATGAAGGTGACTGGCAAAGTCCCCGGAGGGATTTTCTGGGGACAAGAGTATATTTGCTGGTTCAGAGCTGATAACACCACCACAGAGAAGCTATCGTTTGGAAAGAGAAACTCAAACAAACAGCGCTGCTGCTCCAGATAAGCAGGCTCCCATTTGTTGTCTATGAAGCTGCTCAAGACTTTGGCAGATTTAAATCTTTACTTTTGAGTATTCTGGCTGTGGAAGGGAGTTGATCATGTAGACAAATCGTTGACTGCTCTGTACTAGGGTCAGAGGAATTAAACTGAGCAGTGTTATCATTTCACATTGCATGTGGCAGTGTTTAACATAGAAACATAACCGCTTTATTAAAGTTTGGCTGTGATAGAGAAGACTGCCCCGTCGCTCCTAGCTAACATGAAATATAGTTCATCTCTGCCTCTGCATATTTAACCTTGTGCTGCTGTTGCCTTAATGTTTATGACAGCACTTAATTCAGGCTTGTGCCACATTGGAACTGTTACTGAAATATGACCAGGTCCAACCTAATGAGATTGCCATCGTGACTTTTATGTCTAAGGAACCCTGGCACTTATTCAAATATGAAAGAACATATAAATTTGCCAGCAGGTTTATGTAAAGTAAGAAGGTATGTGTCTGAAGAGGGTGAAAAGGCTGTAGATTCATCATCTTGTTCAAAATATTTTGTTGCACCTACTGTAGTTGTTTAACCAAGAAAGACCTGAGGTCAAACTGGAAGAAACGTTAACCTTGTCATTACGCCCTGAGGTGTTTTTTTTTTTTTGTATTAAAACATTGTGTATAATTTTAAGTGATAAAGTCCTCAGATACTTTTTCATGGCATTTGAGACAAACTAAATAAATATATATTTCAATTTTTTTTAATGACATTTCTAAAAAAAAAATTCTACTTGCCCAAGTTTTTGTTTAAAAAATGGCAACTGCACAATGTTATTTTTGAAACTAGAAGTCGATAAACATATGGGCTTTAAACTGTGTGAAATTTAGTAAGACTCATTTTCAGACAATATATTATATATTTAGAAGAAAAAAAAATCAGCAAAGATCGGCTCCAAAATCTTCTTCCTCATGATTTTCAACTGTAACGGCCCCTAACAAAGAAATGTCAAATGGTTGTGCAGTTTTCTGACTAATGAAGGGTAATACTGAGGTCCTCAGAATTCATTTACCTCTGTGTTACGAGCCCGCTGGCCTGCCAAAATGCTTAATGCACTATTATTAGGAGAGAAAGGCAAACAACAGCCCAGATGAAAACAGCATTGAACAGAATAAATTGTTGTTTTTTAACCAGACTGTCAGTTTCTCTTGACACTGACCCAGATGATGACTGGAGGTTTTCCTTCCAGGTCGCCGGGGTGTCACCCTCGGTAAGCCAGACATCAAGGTAGAGACAGTCAACAAAGAGACGCACAGCCTGGAGGAGGAGGTGGCCGACGTCTCCACGGCAACCCGAATGGTCAAGGCCATGTACTCCGTGAGTAGACACCCATCTGAGACACCGGGGCCCTGGAGAAGAGGCGTATGGGTCAATGGCCTTAAATGTGCAAATACACCGACCAGCTTGGCAGGAGAGGCGCTTACACACACACACACACACACACACACACACACACACACACACAGAGCCCAAAAGTTAGTACATAGTGTACATACACACAAAATGAGAAAGCCTGACAAGAAAGGGCATATAAACATACAAGACTTTTTTTAGACAGAGACTCTGCTATACTGGTGTTAAGCTGGCGCGTCTTTATTGCTTTGCCTATTTGCACTGAACTAAAAAGACCAGCATATTGCCGCCCAAGTGTTCTCTTTCACAGACACTGGCATCGCGGTATTAGAGGCGTAACCCTATAACACACATCGGAAATTAAAAGCACACCAGTGAGGTTGTTGCTTTTAAATAGTGGCGGGAGAACAGAGCAGCGTTGTACTTTGGCTCATCCTGAACACTGACGGCATGTTTCAGATCCAGAGTTGTCGCGCGTATTGTAGGTTACAATGTGTTAATGGCTATAATCACAGATTCCGTTTCTGCCGAACAACATTAAAATTTACATCTTCCTGGTGGCATGTCCCAGAAACAACACCCCATCAAAACGTCACACCTCCACTCAACGCACCAGGTCATCTCTCCCCTTTTACACAGAGGCCAAAGCAGAAGGACTGCACCACTTTCACTACACCTTGTGGAGGAATAAAGGAGGGTCAACGCTGACCCCTCATGGTACCTGTTATACAGAATGGTGTGGTGGCAAGTTGGGCTTGAATGTGCACCATGAAGTAGGGTACATACACATTCCAAATGCACAAAAACACAAATTACACAGTTTCTTGCACACACATTTTAACGCTGCGTTCCTTCCAAAAAAAACGTTCAACCCTGGAAATCCTGGAGAATCCAAATCGACAAAGCTCCTTTGGTGCCGTTTTTAAGCTTCGCCCAAAACCCTGTTTTCCAACAACTAAGCGTTTCTCGTCTTCCATTCTCTTGGAATGAAAAACCTGAAACTGTTTTCCTCTCCCCTCCCTCTCTTCCTCCTCCTTTCCTTTCTCACCCTCCCTCTTTCCGTGTGTGTGTTTTGTTGTTTGATGGTTTAGTTTCTGCCCTCTGTTTCCCTCTCTCCCTCCACTCAGCCATTCAAAGACGACATGGACCTGAAGCAGGACATCAGGAGCGAGGGCGACACTCGGGAGGAGTACGAGCTCAAGGTGAGACAGCTGGTCGCTCAGAGCCGTTTCAGCATTGTGACAGTTTTGTTCTGCAGCATCTATAACACCATGTCCTGCTTGGTGCACAGGCATATCACATGGCATATCCATCATTAAGCGCTCATTACACACTCCTGCTTTCTTCTCGGGTTTGGCATTTGCACCGGAGTTAAAAGCTTGGCTTTCATAACAAGTGGTTCTCTATGCATCATTAACAAGATTCTGCTAGGTCAGAGCATGATCAACCCCTCATTTTGGTTCCTTTACACTGGAGTGGAGCTAAAATTGCCTCATAACCTCAAATTCCTTGGGGGCTTTTAATTCTCACTTTCGCAGACTCAACAAACTAAAAGAGGAAACAAATTGCTTCAAACATTCTTTGTGTGGATGCATCCTAGTACTACAGTACCTCTGTTCCAGAGTTAGCCTCCACCCAGGTGTTTATCCTACTAAAGTGAAGCTGTATCATTATGTCTCATGTTCACCCACATACCATTACATGTTTGGAAGAAAGTTCAACAAGAACATGCCACCAACTGCACCCAGACCATCAAGTGTGTCAGCCTGCAGATTGACTGACAGTACACAGTATGAGCAGTATGTAGTGTAATAGGAGATTAGTCACTTCAGTGCAGCAAATGTTTTTTGAACATCTTAAAATATTATTTTATCACAGTGTGTCCTGATTTTACTCATGTTTTGTCCCATTTATACATATATAAAGTTTCATAGGCCCAGCTAACCAGAGAACAGATCAGGACTGTCTTTACTGTCTGGCTGGCATGATATTATTGTTATTTACAGTAAAGAAGTTAGGACTGAAAAGTTAACAGTCTTGTCTGTGATCACAGGATCCAACCAACGGCTACTACAACGTCCGAGCCACCACCCACGACGACGCGCGCCCCCAGTCCCGTGCCATCCACTACCAGGGAGAGTTCCGCTCCCCAAACCCAAACAGCGGACCAGTCGGTGCCACATCCAGTGGGCCCTCGGCTTCTCCCAGCGGTGCAGTTCCTCCCAGCGCAGTGCCAGGTTCAAGGGCCGGCTGCTACGACCCCCGCCCGCCTTCCAGGATGTCCCACGCCACCTACGCCCATTTCAACACCTACTCCAGGGTAGCACAGAGCCAGCAGGCACCTCCCAATCCAGCTCTTCAGTCACCTGGAGATTACCCTGGAGACTGCGGCCTGCTGGACAACACGACCCAGCTCACCTATGACAACTACGGATACCCCTCCCAGTATCCCAGCTACCGCATGGGTTTTGCTCCGACTATTGAGGAAGGGCCGGCCTATGAGATGTATCCAACGGGACAAGGGACCGGGCCAGGACAACAGAGTCCTGAGACGGGGCTGGGGAAGTATGGAAGCTCCACCCGTTTCTCATACTCCTCTCCACCCTCTGACTATTCCCACAGACACACACAGCGCATGCAGACTCATGTGTGAGATACACATATACATGCAGCAGCAGTACTTATTACACATAAAGGCAAAAATACCTTGAAACTTTAAAAAAAAAAACAACAAAAAAAAACTCCCCTTTCTATACATAAACATTCAAGAATCCATTTTCTGTTTCCACAGCAACCAATGCATGGACCTTGGTTCATTTTCTGAACCGTTAAAACACCGCAACAATGCACAGCAGTTAGCAGTGTCGCATATACTATAGTTAGCAGCAATACATACAACACATGCAAAGTGACATTCATCTGTGCAGACCCTCTGTTGTGTGCAGTGTTTATGCTCCAACAAAAGCAACAGCAAAAGCCACAATCAAGAGACAGAAGGTGAAGAAGCAGCGCACTTTGGTGACAGGAAGAAGAGGAGCGCCAGGAGGTGAGGGGGGAGCACAGGAACCTTTTTCTTCTTGCTCTTTTACCCTGCATCACATTTTCCTCCCATCCCATCTTTGTAAATAAGAGCAAATTCAGATTCACTTTAAAGTTATTTAGTGGATAAACTTACAGTGTGATGCAGTACAGCGACCAACAGCAAAACTCCCAGTAATCCACCGATTCTCACATATTGCAAAACACACACACACACACACAGATTTTTAAAAACTCATTTGTTCCTGTGTATTGCAATGGGGCAGCTTGGACTACAAATCTCTCTGGCACTTTCTGATCCCCTCTCCTCACTAAAACCTGCCCGGTGGCTATTTCTTACAAGATCTACCTTGATTTAATTGGGACAAAGCTTCTTAAGGTGGTACAGTGAGTGACCAGAGTGCCAGTGCTTATGTGCCAACACACACAAGCTATTTGAGGTGTGTCTTCTTTTGTAAAGTGTTCACTGAGATACTCTGGATGACGAGGTTTCATATGTGCCACATCTAAGAGGAAAGGAGCGGTAGCACGCATCCCTACTGTATATGCTCCTCCTCATCGCTCATTTTTAGAATCATGATACATTTCTATACTTAACAATTCACTCAAGATCAATGCTGTAAACAGTATTTGTGAAACAAGCTAGGGCGGGAGCGCTTTTTCATTCTATGACTTTTTGCTATTTGTAAAAAAAACAAAGGGGGAAAAACTTCCCGACCCTTAAGTGTCAAAAATGTTTGTTTCTCTCACTTGCACAGTAGAATAGATTTTTTTCCCCATATTTATACTGAAACTTATGAAAAAAAAAGGCATTCAGAAACATTTTATAGTATTTTTATAAGGAGTTGTGGACCAAAGGTTCAGAGTTTTGGGTGACACTCACTTTTTAACGTGTACACAGCAGAGTTTCTTTCTTTAAAAAGAAACGGGCGGTGTTTTTAAAGTGGTTGTTGTAGACTTAAATTAGAAAACCTGAAGAGCTTCATTCCAAAAGAGTGACTATCCAACTGGGAAAGGCCTCGTAGATGGATGTCTCTGTTTGGGGTCAAACTCTTCCTTTGACTTCCGGTCTTCTGACCGGACTGCCTTGATAAAACATTGATGACATTCAAAACGATGGGTGGAAAACAAGCAGCTGCTCAGTTTGAACTGTGCTGCAAACAGCGTAAGAAACAAGAAGGTTCAAGTGTAGCCTAACATATCAACACGAAGGTACAGAGGCTTCTATCTAGCTCATACAGTACTTTGTATATTTATGTGTAAGTATGCTCGTTTCCTAACCGCAAATGCAAATGTGGTGGTATTTTATGTGCAAGATTTTTCCATTATGTTGTATCATTTGGCCTTTAGGACCACGTGTTCAGAATGATCAGCATTTAAAATGTTTCTTTAGTCTGACCTCTACTGATGCATCTACTCGAGATTTTATATTTCACTGAATCTCCACTGCGACATTACGCAAATGTCTCCCACTGAAAAGGAAATCTGATTGGTCTGTTTGGTCTTCAAATGCACGAGGTGCATTAGAAAACCTGAAGTTTGCAGTTTGCAGAGTTTTCATTCTGGCTGACGACAGTAGCAAGTGCAACTGCTAAGTTTGAGCAGTAAAATGATATTTTCTTTTCTTTCCTTGTATAAAAATCTTTATGAAACTCCTACACAATCCAGTGACCATAAACAAACCTCCCTGCTAAACATGAAACATTACTTGCTGTATAAAAACTCCTACAGCAGACGCTGCCGTTGCCAACATTGGTTTTCAGACATTTAATTGTGGAGAACTAAAGTTTTGAATGGTTTTGCCTGATCCATGTTGTTCTCTCCAAGCAGAATTATTCCTTCTGTTATAAAACTGTGTCTTTAAAGAAACAAACTGATTTCACATTGGCTGTTTAGAAGCAGAGAGCCCAAGAAACGATGAGGCACTTCTTTGGATGACCACCTCCACAGGAGTTCGTTTAGAGTGGATACTGCACTTAAACATTTGCCCAGAGCAGCTACTTGTGCTAAAACAAGGTCAATGAACGTGGCTCATTTGCTCTGAGCTTTGTCAGTGAGACTGGATCCGACACGCTTCACCGTTTTTTGGTGACATTTATGTTGATTAGGACCGACAGCATCAGTCTCTACAGTATACTGAACTTGAAATTAGGTTCCATCATTAATGCAACTTCTTTTTAAGAAGAGACACTGAGTAATACTATGTGACTTATTAAAACTTTATAATATTTTTACTTTTCTCAAGAGCACATCTGTATAAGGTGAAATCGGGATCAGAATGTCACATTTTTCATTTATACATCTATAATTTACACATTCAAAATGTATTTTCAGCCTTTTAAATCCTAGTTTCAGTTACAAATTATGATCCTGTCCTGATTTCACCTTACACAGATGTGAAAAAAAGGTCATTATTACTTAGTGTCTCTTTAAAATGAAGTTGCATTAATGATGTAACCTCATCATTTCAGGTTCAGTATACAGTAGAGACCAATGCTGTGGATCCTAATCAACACATGATGGCTGTGAGACGGTAGGATGAAAAGTGTTGGATCCGATCTCACTAACAAAGCTCAGTGTGTGAACATGAGCCACTTCTACAACAGACGGGAGCTTCAGGGCAGACGAGCCACTTGTTTTTCACCGACCCTGCTTTAGTGCCAGTAGCTGCTGCTTCATCACATAAGGAAAGAGGTGTTCTATGCAACAGAGATTCACCCACTTGTTTCCACAGCTAAGTGATGGGAGGTGACGCTTCACAAACTAGAATCACAGCTTCACAGCTGTATGCCTCCGTCAACCAGTCGCATTAATGAGAATGGCACAGACACGAGGTCAGCGTGACCTTTGACCTCTAAATTTAATCAGTTCATCCTTAAATCTGAGTGGATGTTTGTGCCAAATTTCTACAAGGCCTTTCTGAGATATCACGTTCACAAGAATGGGACGGACGGACAAGCTGAAAACATAAGGCCTCGAGCCACAGCTATCAGCAGCGCAGAGGCATAAAAACCAGATGCTGCAAAGTGGAGCCAGAAATCTCAGAACCTCCAGAGGTAATCACTGAGCCTCGATACTCGTCAGCAACACTATCATCTCCTCACAGATACAGGATATTATGTTAAGTTTATGCTAAGGGGCAGGAAGAAAATGTATTTATTGCGCCCTATTTTGAATAAACACTTTCAGACAGGAAACCACAGCCACATTATTTCTGATTAGACTATCAGATGGAACCTTGTAGCTCCAAGGTCACTATATAAAGCATTTCAGCAGTTATGTAGAGAAGAACAGCAGATGGAGCACCCTTTTAAATTTATATGGTTATCACAGCCTTGGTGCTGCATACTATTACCTCTTTACAACCTTTTTACAGACTTGTAGCTGTGCAGTATTTTGCATCTGACTTGCAATGTCGTCGTGACCTTGCGTAGAATGAGTTTGACACCGAGGAGGTACTGAGGCCAAGCAAATACACGGCCAGGCCAACCAGGTACTTAGTCATGACCTCTTAACTATTTACAGTCTGCTGACAGTGGGGGGTATATAAATATGTACAAGACACCATAAATGCCAAAAATGCTAAACAGATGTTTTTATATGGTTCTTTAATGAAAAAAAATCTGGTTTGGAAGGGAATGTGGAAGCATCGACTCCGCTAGTTGTTATTTCACGTCTTTCCATGTGCACCTCTCACTGCAGTGTTTACTCATATTCTTTACTCTGGTCTTCTCCTGTCACATATTAATGGCCACCTAGCAGCTTGCAAATTCAGAGGTTAAAACCGTGTTTAAGGAAAAAAGGTGTTTATTTCATGATCTCCTTTGTTTCTCTGAATATTAGTATTTTAAAACTTATTTTACTTTGTGGTGTTCACCTGTGGAAGACGAGTCAAACATGTTTAATACACAGTGTTTTATGTTATTGTGTGTGTGTTGGATAGGATGGGTTCTGATTAATCAACCCAGCAAACAAACACTGAGGGTACGTGCACATCTGTGGCCAAAGCTGTCTGTCAACTAGGCCAGGCCCACAGCTAACTGCTCTGTTCCATGCTGAGCTGTGCCATCCTTGGCCAAGAGTGACTCGAGTGGCTCAGTGTCCACTTTTACATTTTGGGGTCTGCAGTGAGAGCCAAAAGACTGGGGGGGGGACTGAGCAGACAAACTAATGCAGCAGCCATTTGTGTTTATTGTGCTTATGTGTGCTCATGGGTGACTGTGTGTGTACTACCGCTCTGTGTCTCCATACATGCACATGTGACCATCTGTGAACATGCATGCGTGTGCATGTAACCCTAGTGTGTTTTCATACCATAATAGAAGTGTTGGGGCCACTGGACTGTAGAAATTAGGGTTTGACTGATGGCGTAGAGTAAAGCCATGTCATCCCCCACCGCCGACCTACAGCGGGGCTCACTACATACGTACGAAGCAGCAGTCACAAAGCTTCAGAATCTTTAGTGTCAAGATTTCTTGTGTTAATATAATTCTGTTAGCACTTCCAATAGCACAAAAGTGAACTGTTAGTAGTTTGGTGTCCTTAATGTTCCACAATGTAAACATCTATATGCTACAAAAAGGAGCCCACAATAACTCACTGTATCCATGGCAACATTATAGGCTACTTCCTGTTTCTTATAAATGTAGGCTACGATCTGTTCATGAGCGAAGTTGTAACATTTGTGACATTTTCCAAAATACTATGCAAACACCCCCACACTATTTAACCTCATATTCATTATATAGGTAACTTATATAGGACGTAGACAGTGGAATCAGGCAGACGATGAAGCCTTGGTTTTCTCAAACAGCAGTGACTGACAACCACTACAACCTTTTACCAGATCCTGATCTCTGGATCTTATTATGAGAAAGCAAACATTTAATAGTCAAAACTCATGTGAATAGATAAAAACGGTTGCCATGGAGACCTTGTGTGGCATTGTCGAATTAGCTATTAGCAGCTGATTTACATTAATACGGAAGAATCTGACATTTCTCAAGCAGGTTCTGAAGATTTCCAACTACTGCTCAGTACATGCACATAGTGAGTTACACTGTAGGCTGCAACTTGGGGCCCGTCTATTTGTTGATGTTTTGGAACACTACACACCCCAAATCAGCTACCAGCAGTTCTCTTTTGCTATGTACTATTGAATGTACTGACAACGATCACTTTAATACTAAAGAATTCTTTAAGCCTGATGATTTCTGCTGCGCTACCCTGCTTTATCTCATAATTACGAGATAAGAACCGCCAATATTTTTTCATTGGTGAATGCAATGTGAGTCCATAGGCGAGATTACAAAAATGCAACAATGAGGAAATCTCCTGTTCAGGAGCAGTTTTATACAACACGTATTGTATAACAGAAACTTTTGCTTCTCAATAAAAATCTAAGGTTTCCCTTTCAAAGTTCTCTCAACTCCTGCAACACATCAGTAGCCTAATATTCAGCTTTGTCAAAGGCATGACTGATTATGATTTGCCTGCACTTCATAGCAGTAATGAGCGGGTAGAGAACGAGAGCTTCGTTTGGCCGCCACCAATGCCTAGTATCCCACTCACTGAGAAAACAGACCAACCAGAGCTCTGCTGGCTGATCCTGGGCCTGCTTTACCCTCAACACTAACTACTTCAATGAAAGACAGAAACAAGAAACTCTTAAATCAACATGCCAATCAATCAATCACTTAACTGCCGCAAAGCTGGAATGCTTAAAATAAAAATAGTCAATTTCAAAAGGTGTTGACTATTGAGAGAAAACAGTAACACTGCTCAGTAACAAAGCCACGTCAGTCAAACCCTAGTAGAGAGCAGGACAGGAGGAAGCGGCCGAGCTGGTCAACTCGCCCCTCATCCAGCTGCTGTCTGACCATCTGCTCTGTCAAACATCTGCATGAGTGAGCAGGAGAAACTGATGTTCTGCTTGGTGTCATGAAGACGATGATCAGGACAGTGAGAAGGATTCATACCGCGCCTAATTATGTGTGGAGGTGCCAGAGGGGTGTGTTCAAATAACTGTGTTCTCCACTCCACTGCTTTCTTTTTTATCCATATACAGAATATTGTTCACGTGTATTATGTTCCAATTGGGTTGGTATTTGTTTATCCCTTTTATTCAAGAACTGTACAAACCATACGGGATGAGATATTATTGAAATTTTCTTTTCATGTTTCTCTGTTTGATTTCTGTTGTTTCCGTCAAATTGTATGTAATTATTTTTCCACAGTATTGCAGACAATAAAACAGACCACTTTCATAAGATCAGTGGTAACAACTGCTTTCATTTGTTTTGCCGTCACTGAGTTTACAAGGCACGTTTCTTACATTTAGAGGTTTTGTTTGTGTTTTTAAATAAAGATTGTACATCATACATGCTGCTGTTTATTTAGGTCAAACTTTATTTTTGGTCAGCACTGTGCATTACAACAGAAGGTGGCCACACAGCCCCGAGTAGTTTGTCTTCTTCTCATTTCGCTGTGCCAAGCAGCAATTTGCTCAATGCCCCCCCCCCCTCAAACGCCCCCCCCCCCCCCGGGGAAAACATTATAAATAAATATATAGTCATTCTTTAGCAGTGGAAGTTGGAACACATGAAACTTAACAACATGCACTGTGGCTGACTGATGGGAGAAGCTTAACCTCTGGTCAACTCGGCTATAACCATGTCTCAGAAGAAAAACCTGCCTATAAAAGCATCATTTCAACAGAAACTGTTCTGACAAATCCTTATGGCAGCCTGACATTATATATTGTCAATTTAAATAGGTTGCAATTTAAATCTTGCTTCATATGCAGCTGTATTGATTTTTAAATGCTCAGAAATATGTTCCCGTCACTCACATTTAAATACTGATGTTAATGTGGTAGAAATCTTCAGTGAAATGCATGTCAGTTGATTTTCTGACAGTCTAGGACAGATAGAAAACCAAATAGAACATCTGACTGTCACCTGGGTGCAGTCGTAGTATCCACAGTGTGTGTGAAGACAGGCAGGAGGGCACGTGGAGTGTGTACCAGACTGTCAGTGTGACGGTGGAGCTCGGAGCGCAGCACCAAAAACTTCTGCTGAGTCTCAGTTTCTCGTCTCATTGAACTCGTATTTAAAACTCATCTCCCTTCACTGTGGCTCGACCTGCTCCCGTTTGTTCCCCTCTTCACTCTTTTATTCCCTGCTTTGCTCCTGTTACTCTCTTCTTCCTTCACATCTCCTCGTCTCTCTTCTTTCCTTTCCATTGTTCTCTCCACGTATCCTTTCTGCCTCTCATCTCTCAATCTGTTCACATCTTGTTCTCTCTTCCTCAGTCTCTTCCCCCTTCATCCATCTGAGCTCCTGTTTGTCCCCATCTCTACTTTCTCGTCATCCTTTCACCTCTCCAAGCTGGTTTACCCTCCTCTCCTCTCCATTCTTCCTTTCCTTTATGTTCTTCTTCAGTCTCATTTTCTTTTTCTCTAACCTACAGTCTCTCACTTTCTTCAGTCATTCTTCTCACTGCCTCGACCTCTTTCTCTTTTCAGTCCTTTGTCTGTTCTTGCTTTGCTTTATCTTGTCATTTCTGTTCCTCTCAACTTTCTTTCACTTGCCCTTAAACCTCCTCTCTTCTCCTTTTTGATCTTTCAAACCATCTTCTCTTGCTGATATCCTACATCTCTCCTCTTCTTTGTCTTTTCATTCAGAACTTTTCTCCAACTGCTTCCTTAGACCCTTCACTCCTCTCCATCAGTCCTGCTCTCACTTATTTTCCAGTCATCCTCTCACCTCTTCAGCCTTTTCCCTTCCTCCTTTCACCATGTGACCTTACATCTCCTCTTCTTCACCCTGTTCCACTCTTCTGTCTTGTCTCTCTTCTCATGCCCTGCGACCTTACATCTCCTCTTCTTCACCCTGATCCACTCTTCTGTCTTGTCTCTCCTCTCCTCTAGGCCTGTTCATCTCTCCTCATTTGTTGCTTTGTCCCTCTCTCTCATTTTTCTTCTTGTCCTTTCAATCTCTCACCTTCTTTTCTAACTTCTCTCATCTCAAACCTTTTCCTTTCCCCTCTTTCTCTTTTCACCATATTTTACCTCTCGTCTTCTCTCCTCTCCTCTACTTCTCCTCTCTTCACTTCTCCACTATCCCCAGTCCTTATTTCACCTTCTCTCCAACTTTCTCACACTCTTCTCTCATGGCTCTCTTCTTCTCTTGCCTCAGCTCGACAGTTCTCTCATGTCCCCTCCTCTGTCCTCCTCTAACCTCCCTTGCCTCCTCTCCTCCTTTCCACAGACAATATCTCTCTATTCCTTTCTCAGTTCTTCTGCTCCATCTCTCTTCCACTTTTCCTTCTCCCTTTTACTCCAGTTCTTATTCTCTCTCTCTCCTCTCTGCAACCTCTTCCTCTCCTCTTTTCTGACAGGAAAACATGCAGATGGAGAAAAAGCAAAAGTGGGAAAGAACTAGCATACAGCATGAAAGAGAAAGACAAGGAGAGGAGACAGGCGGGAGCATTAGAGATTAGTGATTATCGTCTGCTTTCTCCTCCTGCTCTCACTGAGGAATAATGTCTGGAATAACCTTCAGCGCTGCTCTCCCGACTCTACCCCCCTCCCACTTCCATTCTATCCCCTTGTTCGTATTTGAAGCAGTCGTGTGGATTATGGCCCGTCTCATGCTTGGCATCCTACTCTGTGCCGGAGATATATTATCATATTAGTGGGGAATGATGTAATGCATTTCAAGACATTTGTCCTTCGCACACCCTCTGTCCCTCCACCAATGATGTCACTGGCTTTGTGTCTCCGAGGCAGAGAAGTTGTCCTGTGGGGTTTTTAGTTTGAAGCTGTCGCCCTCTTGTGGTGGGAGAGTGGTATTAGGTGACGAGTGGAAGGGACTGAATTAGGCTGCAGGCAATTATTTGTCACTGATAATGTGAGTCATAAGAGATGTCCTTGGTCCAACTTTACTGGCATGTTTTGTTGGGTCGGGGACAGAAGAAAGGAGACAGACACTTTGGATATGACTTGATTACAAATCAGGGTTTGACCGATGTGGGTTTCTGGAGCTTGTTTCCAATGACAGAATGTTTGGATGCGAGTTGCTGATAGCAAAAATTTCATGCTAATAACCAATGTCTTTTGACTTTAACTTATACACACACATATATATCTATGAGATAATGATTATCTGGTGGCATCATCACAAAAACAAAACTGAAACAATGATCTGTGACTCTCAGTTTGACCTATGGGCTGTGTCTCTCTACATGTCTACATCTTAGATTCACATGGTCACAAACTGCCAGAGGAGCTGAAGAATCTGGTTATGAGACTTCACAATGATGGAAAAGGACACAGGAAGCTCAGTGGCCGATTGAAAATCACATAAATCAACTGCAGCAGTAACGAGCGGGTAGAGAACGAGCCAGAGAGCCACCGATCAGTGGCCGTCCTCCTAAAGCCACGCTCTGGACAGTGCACTACTTGCACATTCTAGCTCTGAAAAACAGATGGGCAAGTGCTTCAGACTTGACACCAGGGTTATCAATTGAAACCAGAGTTTCTGTAACAGTTCAGACAGTGTGAAGGACGCTGCATTACGTCAGCCTCTATAGACAGTGTCCAAGAAAAAAAAAAAAAACCTATTGTTTGCCCTTTAACAAAAAACTGCAAGAATAAAGTTTTCTAAAGAACATGAAGGGAAACCGATGAATACTGAGAGCACATACATTTGTAGAGCTCAGATAGGGCCTATCATGTTCGGTGTTGACCAGGCAATGACCAAAACAGTGACTCCACAGTCTCAACAGTAAAGCACAGGGGTGGAAGCGGGATGACACAGGGCTACATGAGTGCATGAAGTGTTGGGAAGATGACATTTATAGATGGCAACATGAACATCTGAGTAAAAACCAAATTACTGTCTGATAAGACGACCCCCGGTGTCCAGATGCTTGGCAGAGAAGAGGACTATTCCTACATGATAATGATCCGGTGTACACTGCCAAAACCACACCAGAGTTTTTGAAGGAGTAAGAAGTGAAAACTATGACCTGGCCAAATACAGTATGACTTGAATCCAACACAACACCTCTGGGGTATTTTAAAGGGAAAGGTAGAGCAACAGAAGCTGACCAGCAAAGAACAGCTGAAACAACAACTCAGAAGAACAACATCTGTACAGAAAACACCGGTGTCCTCGATGCTGAGGAGGACCCAGTCTGGCATCAAAAATAAAGGTGGACATAGGAAGAACTGAAAAAATAAGATTTAAATCTCAGTAATGAGAGGTGCACTGCAGCACATTTAGGGCTGGTAAACCAACTACTAAGTGTCAAAAAAAGTTAAACGAAGATCTATAAAATGTAACTCTTATAACAACATAGTGGCAGTAAAGCTGTAAAATCTCAACAGCAAATAAAAGAATGCAACATGAGGGCAAAATATAATCAATAAGTGGTCAAACAATCTCTGTCATATCACAAGCGAGGACTAACTGCAGCTAAACCTACCGGCCACGTATACACACTGATGAATAAATATGTGTTGTTTAACAAAAAGGTCACTGTGACTTCACATCTGTCCCACTCTGATCAGGCTATAAATACACTTAATATCTTTTATAAAATTCTTTCCAAGTCCTCATTACATATACGAGTCTGGACACATGTACTGAAAACTTGACCAGTTGGCAGAGGAACATGACCATAACTTGATCATTTTAGTTTTATGCTTAAACTGACCCCTGACTTTTGTTTTGTGGTCATTTAATTCAACACATTAATGCAGAAATATACAACATCTAAGCAGAAACGTGGTCTTAAAACTAGACCTGATGGTAGTGTTACATGCTTTAGGATAAAAAACGCTGTGAAGTCCAAGAAGCAGCTTCACTTCAAGACTGAATCAAGATAAGTTAAATTATTATGGGCCTTTTCAGGTCAGCTGATGATTTACTTTTAAATAAATATACACAGTTAAGTCTGGGGCCACGGACATGTTGCCAACTTTGCTCGATTTGTAATTCAAACAAGCAAATAAACACGGAGCATGAAAAGCAGAAACCATGACCACAGCACAGCTGTTAGCAGAAAGCTTACCTGGTTCTGTTTGTGCCAGGACACGACGAACATCAAGAAGTGAGGTCCAGCTTGTGGTTCTGGCGTCCTGGTCATAATATCCATCAATGTGGTTCAAGTTCACAACTTTCAGAACAGTTTTAATGCGGGGAGTTCAGGCTTCTCTTGTACAAACTACTTTAAAATGCATTTAAACTGAAGTCACTGCTGTGAACAGGAAACATATCTGTTTCTAGCATCACCACATGTTTCTACCTTAATTAAAGG